CAAAATGGCGGCCCCCCGGCTCAATCCTCCTCCTCCTCCTCCTCCTCGTCCTGGTTGATCTGGAAGTAGCGCAGCTCGTAGCTCTCCTTGCTGTTGGCCACCACGCGCAGCCAGTCCCGCAGGTTGTTCTTCTTCAGGTACTTCTTGGTCAGATACTTCAGGTACCTGCGGGGGGAGCAGGGCTGAGAGCAGGGCTGCACCCTCCATCACCCCCCACAGAGCTCAGGCAAACCCAAACCCCCATTGCTGGTGCTCCCACCTCCACAGGGGCAAAGCATCCCACCAGGCACAGCAAAGCTGCCATCAGAAACCACCACAAGCAGCATCCCACTGACACGGGGCCAGGACCTCCAAGGGTCCAACCACGCACTGTATTTCCACATCACCACCAACCAGTGCTGCTGGGACACGCTGGGCACACAGTGACATGGAGGAGCTGCACCAGGGGCATGGGGGTGTCTCCAGAGCAGAGCACTGACCCCCACCACCCACAGCTCTTATCCCCCTGCCATTGCAGACCCCCTGGCCTCACTGTGCCCTCTCTGCCATGTCCAAAACCACATTTATCGACCCAGGCAAAGCCCCAGGAAGCAGGAGCCCAACCAGACAGGAGATGCAAGAACCTGGCTGTGGATCAACCCCCACACTCAGCACCTTTACTGCTGCACATTCTCCCCGCCCGTCCCAAGAATATTCCCAACAGGAAATCAACCACACTTCTCTCTCAACAATCATTTGGAAACCAGCAGTCACCATGCCCAGCCTCATGCTGCTTTTAACCCTGGTCCCAGGAGCAGTCCTGCACCCAGTCCCCTCCTCACCACCAGGCCCTCCGGCCAGCCTGGCTCCCCCCGCACGCCAGCGACCCCCTCTGCTGCCAGCAGTGACCAGACACAGCTCCAGGCACCGGCAGCAATCCTGACCGTGGCTGGTGCTGCCCCACCACCCACCTCTTGGAGAACGGGACCTCTGACGTGACTGTGATCTTGCTCTTGCTCCTCTCAATGGTCACCACGCCTCCGCCCAGGTTTCCTGCTTTGCCATTCACCTTGATCCTTTCCTGCAGGAACTGCTCCTGCAAGAGAGGAGGATGCCGAGGCTCAGCCAGGGCCGCCAGCTCCCGCTGGACAAGGCTTCCCCAGTGCCCAGCATGTCAGCTTTTTGTTTCAGCTGGAGAAGAGACAGAAGTGCCATTACAGCCAGGGGAAGCCGAGGAATGCTGCCTCCCCCCTGGCTGCGAGGGGCTGAGCCTGCCAGCACCTTCCACAAATAACCCACCAGCTCAGACCCAGGTGTGAGGTTCTCAAGCCCAAAAGCACCAGGTGAGCAACATGGGGACAAATTTCCTGCCTTCCAAGAGACAGGCACGGGAGTGAGGGCTGGGCCAGGATCTTCAGAGGACCCCTCAGCCACAGCCCTGAGCTTCTGACCCGTTCTGGAGCACAGAAAGCAGCTCACCAGGCTGTGCTCTGCCATCACTGCTGCCCACAGAGGCCCAGAGGGGTGAACAGAAACTCTGCTTGGCAGGTGGGGAGACTCGTGTTTAACTACAGTGTTTAACAGCAACACGCATCTGGTCACCCCAGCACAACACAGGCTCCTCTGTCTGCAGGGTGTTTCCCAGCACCACAGCAGTTCACGCCGGGCCCTGGCGAGGGGCAGCAGAGCGGGGGGTGCCCGGCCGTGCTGCGGGACCAGCAGCCCCCAGAAACCACAGGCACCCCGGGGGGGGCGGGAGGGGGCGGCCGCCACG